GGCCGCTCTGGCAGTATGGTCTTCGCCGCTCGAGATTTATCGAAGCCGAACACCGATGCATTAGCGATGGAAGAACGCGAAAACGAGATGAAGGTAACGAAGCGAGGGAGGAAAATCGTGGAGGGTGTCTAAAGAGTGGGGCAGAGGAGGTGAATTCACCAACCTCTCCTATCCCTTAAACCGTTCTTGAAGCTAAAAGAGGGCCCTCAAGACGTGTAACGAATCAACGAAGATGAGAAACGCGCAAGAACTTCCCTCGATTCTCTACTTTGAAAGGACCCCAAATACACGCAGGTGCTTCTGTAAACTGACGCACAATTAACCCTTTCGCCACTGTGGAATAATTGGAAGAACGAGCAGGGGGGAGGCAAAATGAAACACTTTAGGTTTAATAACACAGAAAAATAAGGTCCATGATACACAAACTCTGTCATTTTAAAGTTTGATCAAAGATTTGTACAAAAAATATTCTACGATTCTTTCATCGATATAAGTACGAATGAATAATTCGAGGAGAATAAAACGAGAATTATAAAAAACAAAGAACACCAAACAGTTTATTGTACTACATGTGCTCTAATTGATTTTCTTTGTATATTCTTGCAAAACTATGTGGAAATTGAAGGAACTGAAAATTTCACTTTGTACGAATTTTATGTACAATTTCTAGTTTAGTAACGTAAGACTTATACAAATGAGATATTTCTCACCTGACTTTAGGAATAACAATTTCACACGTAAAGTTAACAAATTTTCAATAAAATCTGTGAACACTTCACCAACAAGCAGTCTCAAAAATGGTAGTGTCTATCTTCTGTGACACACCTAAGCCTCTATGTTAACAGTATTAACAGTATTCAAAGACAGTATACAAAACGATATTTCACTGTACCCCGATTCCCCTTACTATAGTCATCTGTAACGTACAAAAGTTGCTTCGGATCGCGAAGGGGTTAAAAAGAGGGAGTAATTAAACGCAGGTTTCCCCGAACGGTTCGTTGATAAGCTGGTGAAAGGAAGAAATACTTGTCGAATACTGATTTAATTCGATTTCGCTTATCCAATGCTTATCATCGACTCGCAGCGAAACACGAGAGGAAGGAACTGGTATTCCAAACTAGTCGGTATAGTTTGCTCTTCGATCATGACACTCCGATACGACGCTCGTGTATCAAATGGTCGCGAGCTGCCTCGATACAGGCCTTCGAACCCTCTTTCCACCTGGAAAATCTCGCCCGGAGGCTGGTAGATGCTCTGGCGAGAATAAAAGTCGCGGGGAGAATGCGTCGGTGTTCGGGTATATCGCCATCTCTTATTAACCCTTTCGCTGCGGCAGATTTGCCGTGTTATTTCAAAATTCGATTCGTTAAATTAAGATGGAATTGTGTAAAAAATAAAAAATCTAGTATTGAATTAAGATAAAAGTGCACCAAACAATGCTCGAACAGTATAGCGCGAGTAAATTTATAATGAAAGGGTTAATTTCTAATCGTCTAATAGATGTTCCCCCGCGAATCTTGATACCCCCTTTAGAGAATACGGTATCTCCGGACAGTGTTCTCGCCAGCGTTTAGTATATGTGAACGACTTGGTCGTGAATCATTCAGTTTGTAAGCCAAGTGTGTCTCTCAGACGCAACACCATACGCGACACGTATTCCTGAAGCAACGGTTGCTTCTCTGACCCCACGTCGATCACTTCCTCGTGATTCGCCTCCGCCAGGCTCTCGTAATCCGTCACACATTGATTCGTGATCAGGCTGAACGCGAACACGGTTAGATCGCAGTGCCTCGCTGTGATCACTTCGTGAACCGTGGACATCCCTAAGAAAAAGAAGAAAAATTGCATCAGACACAACGACCGTTGATCAGCTGACAATACAAGCTACTCGAAGCAACGAAGATTTCGTTACTCACCAACAGCATCGACACCGAGCATCCTCAACATCTTCAATTCCGCCACGGTCTCGAAATTAGGACCTCCGAGGCATATGTACACACCTTTGTGCACCATATCGCCGATTCCCATTTCTTCAGCCACTTGTTGGCCCATATTTAAGAGGTTCGAACAGTAAGCTTTGCTCATCGGTGGGAATCTGGGTCCGAATCTGAGAACGTCGAAAGAATAATTGAATCGCGGAGCCGAGCTTATAGAAGGAGAGTGAAGAAGTGAAGACGGGAATAAGGGGAGAGCAATAGCCAAATGGAAATTACGCGGAGTCACGGTGGATGAGAAGGAATTGGGCATGTTCGAAGAGCGGAAAGGAAACAAAATATCGACGAGAGGAGAAGGCTATGGAAATGGTTAAAGGAGTGCAGAGAAGCGCGAAAAAGACCCGACGAGCACGTTCGATGACCTCCGTTAATATCGCGGGGGTTGCTAACAAAGGGTGAAACGAAAGCACGGATAAAGGAATGGCAAGTTTCGCAGGATGAAAGGTTAACTCGACTCGGAAGGGACGAAGGAACGGGTAAGAGGAGGAGGTTATGTAGGCAGAAAAATCGACGACGATCCTTAGGTAAATACGTCAATCAGATATTCTTTGTGTCGTCGGGTAAATAGTTCATCAATTCGATTGAACGGGTTGTTCCGATGAAATAGATTAATTTTATTCCATCAAAGACCTCAACGAACCCCCTACGGAATCTTCCTCGTCTCTGCCCTAAGGGAAGGAGTTCGTTGATCCGCGAGCATCGTCCTCGAACGACTTTCTTCCCCGGAAACGAGGCAAGAAGGAAGATTCGAATTCATCGTCGTTCACGCGATGAATCTCACTAGCCCGCTTTTCAACCAGCATTTCTTCTATTCTTCTTCCTTTTCTCTCATTTTTTTTTTCTTTTTTCTGTCATCGATAGAATCGAACGGACGGTAATTTCGCGAAGCTTCGAAGAACTGCGATAAAGTCTGGGGGAAAATTGCGCGTAAAAAGAGAGGAAAGAATGTAGGGGAAATACATGGGGACAGGTTGATAAGGAAGCGTGTATAGTATGTGTGCGCGCACGAAGTGTATATAGAGTAATGTGACGCGTTTCGTAACGCGACGCGTCGAGCAGGAAGGTGGAAAAAGTACCTGTCGTCGTTTGGTCCTTGAAGAGGGTTATTCCCCGCAAAACCCATCATGTTCACGTGATCCTTCACCATCATAATGTCGCCAACCTTGTACGTGGGATTTAGACCTCCCGCCGCGTTCGTCGCGATCAGATGGGTCACGCCTACGAGCTTCATAACTCTTACGGGCATCACGCACTGCACTTGGAACAAGATGAATAATCAACGCGGGGTATTTTTTGGTGTTTTTACAATAAATAATACTCGTTATGAAAAATACGTACGACGGATGAAATATTACACGTGTCTGTGGATATAATTATTATAGTCGCGCAACGGGGCAAGAAAAGTATCGATAACATCCCCCCCCCATTCTACCGAACGAACCTTTTGTTTCAATAAATAAAGCCGTTGTTACCGGTGTGTCACGGATAACCAAAAATATTGCGGCATCTGTAGATTAAGTTATAGTCACGCGATGGGAAAACATTAATAACGTCCGTTCTACTGAACGAAACATTTGATTTCAACAAATGCAGTCATCGAGCCGATCGTAACTCGTAACAAAAAATGTTGCAATCTCTGTAGATTTAATAATGGTCGGACAATGAGAGAAACAAAATAGAAATGAATTGATAAAATCGTTTGCTGTTGATCGAAAGGTAGGGTTTCGAAAAAAAAAAATAAAAGCTGACAATTATTGCGAACCTTCGTACCTTCCACAATGGATAACCCTCGTAATAATGAAATCTTCCCTGCATACACATAATCGGGACACCTTTTAGATAACCGAACACCATCTGACCCTGGTGACCCTTCACAGTGGAGGCAGGGAAATGTGGGATTTCTTCATATGGAAAGCACTGTTTGTCCTCGATAATGTCCGCTAGAGAACCTGGACACAACTCATTTTGCTCATATGATCCTGTTAGGGAATAGATAAAACATTGACTGGAACAAAACATGCTAATTGTCTCAACACCGACGATACAGAAGCTTCAGCGAACTACTAACCCATTCCTGAGCCACATATTACTCCGATCTTTGGTTTGATCTTGATTCGGTCCAGCAGATACTGTGCAGACTCCTGCAGAGCTTCAAACGTGTATCTAAAGGATTGAGAAGAAGAAATGAAGATCCTGTATAATCGAGTATTTGCACGAGAAGAGACGTGTTCGGTGAGATCTCACTTCGACAAATACGCGAAGACGTAAAGGGTAACATTCGCATAGTCGTGGTTACGCGAATAACAGAGAGGGGCAGGGAGCGTCGAACGTAATTTCTGCGTGGAAACTATGACAAAACCGTGCAGTTACCTGTTAAACTGTTAACAGGCTGAAATAGTGGGGGGTTTAAGCTGAATGTAGGCTTCGAGGGTATTACAAATCATGCATCGAAATATACAGGGTGGCGCGGGATGGGACGACGCGTAACGTGTTTACGGTCGTGTATATGCACGTCCCGTGCACAACTCATCCACCGGGGTTCTATGCATTCACGCGTGCGCGAATGCAGAATGCGCTCGCGAGCATCGGCCGGCTCTACGCACAGATGCACACGCAGAATTTCCATGCATTCGACCGAATAAGCGCGCCTCCAGCATAATGCTACGCGTGACGCGATCGAAAATTACTTACGATCCCGCTGTGAATTTTAATGTCTCCGTGTGCACTCCCTCCGTTCGCTATTTCGCTTCTTTCTTTCTTTCTTTTTTTTTTCTGCCCTCCTATCCATCCACCACTCCGCAATATCAGCGAGAGGCTCAAAGCGAAGATTTTCATTTTCACCCTCTCCCGCCAACCCCTTTTCTCCTAACCAGAAAGATTCTAGAACCGGTTTCCGCTTCGAAACGAAACCGGTTCTCCTCTCGTAAAACCGTAATCGTCCACTGTTTCCCGTCCCTCGAGATTTCCATTTCGTTCCTCTGACCCTACGTTACGGTGCACGCGTGGCGATCTGTGAGTTCGCAAGTTCGATTCGTCCCTACAAAGTAGAAAGGAACTTTTTCATCGAAAGATAGAGAGACGAAAATGAACAGAGAAATTAGCCGAACTCTGAGAGACAGAAGTTGTTGGGAATATTTTTTCGTAAGATTGACAAACGACGAAATCCATGATGGCGGTGATTACAGGAGTAATCAGAAGGTTAACACGTCACCGTGAGGGACATCGAATTACAACCCGTTGAATACCGAACCGAATGTGCATCCACATCGTCAATACAGTGGTATTCAGCCGCGAATCTGAGAATTGCTCGGCAGTCTCGACTGGGTGGAAGAGCTCCGATATAGCCGCGGGTATGGCAAACGTCATTAGAGCAACCGCATTCGCGGATGCTCCATCGTAAAACGGGATTGTACGGTGGCCCGTTATGAATGGCAAATGTGAGGTCGACGATTATTATAACGACGTGAATGCTCGCAGCCCTGGGGCCATCCGCGAGGATTCAATGACGCCTCCGCGATTCTGCCTACAATATCGCTCGTTCTAATCTCGATTATGTATATGCACGCTGTACTCCACCTTTGAATTCCATCACGGCGGACTGTGACGTCTTGGTACTTATGAGTCGGGTTTCGTTTCCGTAACTGATATATTAGTTTCGAGTGGTAGAAGTTGATGTGTTACAATTACTGAAGAAGAATGAACGAATGTGTGTGTGTGTATATATTTTTGAAGGATTTATGGCAATTTGTGTGTTGGAAAAAATGCGTAGAAGAGAAAATGGAGAAAGCTTGGAAACGTGAAGAAAATTCATGTTGGAAGAAATTAGTTTTGTATCTAATTATATTTATTATTATTGAAAATAATATCGCTTTTCGCGATATTCCTTTAATTATCTCACAGTTAGGTGGTACGTAGAAAATCTTTCATTTCTATTGATCATTGAAGAGGCTATAGATCGAAAAGAGTCACGGTCTTTTGATAGTAGAGAGAAGACATCCGGTCGTTAATCATTGTAAGAGTAAAGTAGTATAGTAGCACGTCAGTTTCATTTTTATTCGTCTGATCTAGCTCTCCCTCGTTCTCTCTTTCTCTGTGAATTCCTCTGATTCTTCAACCTGTTGAAAACTCTACGAAGTGTACAGGGTGTTTCAAAGTATAAGTTACAAAGATGATCGAGATGTTCAATCGTTGAACAAAAGTGACTCTTCGTTTGATCGTACGTACGTTGTATACACATAATACAATGCACTTTTGATAACGAACGAGAAAAATGTAAGAACACACATGATAAGAATGTTATCGTGCACTTTACACAATACATGTACGACAACATCTGAAATGTTAGAAAATACCTAATCTACACTCGAGTGCTTATTGCAGCCACGTAAACTCTCGAAACAAAGACTTTCTTCTTCCTTTCTGTTCGATCCGAGAAACGGACCCCCAGGTCGGTTTCCCGCGAAAATTCGAACGAGCGAAACGAGACAGAAAGAGAGAAGGAAAGGAAGGAGAGGAGTCGAGGTGAAGGCAAAACGGACAGCACGGTAAATATTAAATGTATCGGATAAAAGTTCATATCCGGCGGAACGGAACGCGGGGAACGCGACGCGGGGAAAAAAAAAAGAGGAACGAAGCGAACAGTAACGTAGAGAAGAAGAAAAAAGAGGGAGAAGAAAGAAGAAAACACGAGAGGTAGAAGAGCTGCAACTAAATTACAAATCCGTCTGCATATTTGATTCGAGCGCGCAGTTTTTGCGCCACTTTGTGGACTCTGATTATTCCGTGAAAAGCGGCGGCGACCAGTTCGTCGATTCGATCGAACGAAGAGAGAAAGAGAAAGGGAGAAAGAAAGGAGCAAGCTGGTGGTCCACGATAAAATTGATACAGCCTTCGGAGTCAATCAGCGAACATCCACGGATCGAAACGCGAATAACGCCGTACGATTTTAATGAATTCTAATAGACGCGCAATTGAAGCGTTTCGCTACGGCGATAGTGATGTAATGAATAAATTGCAAAACAATCAAGAAATTGAGACCAATAAAGTGTCAGGACGATTAGCGTGGTCAAATTGACACCTCCTCCTCCTTTTCTCTCCCCGCTTTCGCCCCCTTTCTCTCTGCGCGTTTTCCGCGTTTGTGTTTACTGGAACGTCAACGTCATCGCGCCATTACGTTTAATTCCTGTTTGTGTTTGCCGCGAGCGCAGCTTGCGAGTTTCGCGCGCGATCTCCCCCCCCCCTCTCTCTCTCTCTCTCTCTGTTTGATCGATTAAATAAACAAAATCAAAGTATGAACACTCAGCAACTTCTAATTGGACATTTCAAAACACACGAACTTGGCCATCCGCCCTGTATATAGCACTGGTGACACATTTCAGACACACGTTAGGCGCGTGTACCAAAATGGCTGCTGACTAACTTCCACCTTGCTCTATGTAACTAACACCTGTCTTTAGCGAAGGTTCCCTGGAAATGGAGAACAGCTGTGAACGATGAAGGAAATGGGAATAGAGATTCTTAAACAAAGAACTGCAGGATAAGTTAACTAATACGGCAAACTCTTTCACGTGGAATTTTCAACGAGACTCGACTTTCTTTCAACTTCGAATAACACTCGTGTTACAGATTCCATACAATTTAGATCGTTCCTTTTTTGCTCTGACTCTCTATTTTTTTTTTTTTTAGTTCGTGTATTTAACAAAGACATGGGTAGACAAAATAACAGATACTTATTCACTGGATTCTAGCGTACACTGTCCCAACGTAGAAATAAAATAGACAACTCTACCGAAAAACGAAAAATCGCATGGGTGCGTGTCAATAAAGTACTCTGAAATTGTGTGTCCAGCTTTCCCACTGACACTCTTAATGGTACACTGATAAAAGAGAGCAACTCGCGATAGTTTCACTCTGAGGTGGACACGTACCTATCCGAAGGCAATTTGACAAAACTCAGTCAAATAGTAACACGATCACGTGAATTAAGAGTTCACGGCCATATGTTATGCAGAATAATCGTAGCACGCGAGATAATTCGACGGTAAACCAATCAACTTTCGTAATTAGCGGCCTCTGAACTCGACACAAAGGTACGCTGATATCCGTGGCACTATGGAAAGGGCTGGTAGCTAGGGGGTGGGAAATTTAGTTATGCTTGGAAATTTCATATATACCCAGAGAACCCATAGTAATATATATCCGGCTAACGTTCCCGCATTGTTTATTAACCGAAAGTTCTGCCGCTTCAAGTAGCCGCCCCGTCTGCGCGTAACTTTTTCGACGATAATGAGACCGCTGGAAAGCGATTAACCGTAAGTGGACGATGGTCCCGTTACCCGTTTCCGCGAATCGCAGTTGCAGCGGCTTCATTGAAGTCTCTAAATCAACGAATGACGATTTTCTTCTCGAGATGGGACAAACTTGGGGACGTTGACTCGCGTTGACGGAACGCAGAAATTGTTTCTTTCGACTTCAGACAAATTTCAAGATGTCGAAGAATTCTTTTTTACTTTAACTTGGAGGAATCTTCACACGTTACCGAATCATTTCAACTTGAACAGACATCTGAGATTGTTAGAAAAGATTTCTAGAGAAAATTGACAAAAAACGTACCGTTGAATGTGTCGAAGATGAGTGTTTTGAAGCTTTCACTGACAAGAATTATTTTTTCGAAAAACACACTGGTAATTTCTCTACGTTATAATACTCCAGATAACTACAACACTAGCAAAACATAGGAATTAGAAAACAATAGAATCCACGAGTAAAAATTCAAGCTACCTTACGAACGATTAAGAACCACGATAGATCGTCTTACTTCAACCTCTCTCTCTCTCTCTCGCTCCACGATTCTTCTAATTACATAATTTCCATTTGGTACTCGAGAGTCCAATTAAGAAGAGCACACCTAACACAACCGATTCACAAATGATCGAATAAAGAGGCATTGTCTACCAACGATAGCGAAGCCTACATCGATCGTACCGTATCTGGACCATAACCTGCACCACTATCGCGACTCTCTCCGTTGCAAAGATCGAGAACTAACAGTTGACACTCTGTAAAAAGCACAGAACTTACGTGTTGTGCCGAAGGTGTTTAACCACTGTGTGCAAGAACTCATTATCCGTGGGTCGTTTCAAAGGCTGGTAATCATTGTTCGTATTGGCAGGGTTTAGATCATACGTGAAGGGCATTTTGTCTCCTTGGAAATCTGCTCTGTCTCGAACTCGAGATGAAATAGCAGAGAACTGATCACCTTCGAACACGAACGGAACAGCTGATTCTTTTTACGAATAGAGAGAAAAGCAACTCTGAACAAAGAGGAACACACGCCTTATCGAACGACGACGTAGAACACGCGGCGCGCGTTACTTGTTAGACGATCAAGAAATATGTAACTATTGGCCGCGGTGGCTCGAGTTGCTGCTGTTTTATACGGACATGCGGCGTCCTTGAAAAAATGTGGACGCCAACAAACTGGCCAATCCAAAGGGACGCTCACTGGTGCTCCCTCCATGATCCCTCGCGGAGGTCAGAACGGTCGAGAAAGTCACTGAGAGGTAGGGGCACGCGATGATAACCCATTACTCGCGGTTGACAATACGATCAGGCAGGATTAACAAACTCGAAGAATTCACGGAACTTCGATGATCAATAGGATCGTTCTACGTGTAATTAAACAGTTGACGGATGAAGTCGATTTTTCTGCATTTCCAATTTTCGTCATCTCCGATGCGTACAGTAGATCGCGTTGTCCTCGAGAATACACTTCCCTTCGATAATTGCCACTTCCTGAAGAAATAGCTACTCCGTTATTAGTCGACGCTATAATCACTGCTCGTTTTTGTTTCCCTTGTGATCAAACCTGGAACTTGTTGCTACTTCTACAGATCTGAGGATCGTTTAGTTCGTCGAGTAGTAGTAATTTTGTCGGTCCGAGAATAATTCGAGAATCCAAGGTAAGGTCAGCAGTACTCAATGGATCTTATCTTCGAATCAGAGATCTGATTATAGATTTGATAACTTTCTCCCACACGGGTGGTGTATGTTGTGTGTCAAGAAGATAGACTAATCAGATATACTTCAGCTGACATACGATTCCAGGCAGGGCTTAAGGGGAAACGAAAGAGACTTTGTGAGAAAAACATAAGTTGTTCTCTGTAATGTAATCTTTGAAATGATATGAAATTTCTTCAAATCGTACGGGCAGGAAATTTTTTATATTTTCTTCACGTGACTATAGCCAGAAGTCCATTTTGTCCATTTTGTCCATTTTGTACCTTAATCCTGATACACGGGAAGTTAATATTTTCAATCTTCACGTACATTTTCACATCTTTTCCTTTAAAAAATAAAAGAAAATATTAAGCATTTTTTGAAAAATTATATTTTTGCTTCCAAGCGACATTTTTCAATTCCAACTGATCGATACGCATAACAAACGGCCAGAAAACGCGTAGAACGAATGTGAAGCAAGTACCTGTAACGATTACTGTGAAAAAGGTGCGTAAATTTGGCAAATCGACCATCGGTAAGGTAGACCTTTCCGAATTCGCCTTAAACGGGACAGGCGACGCAATCAGGCCTGTTTTCGAAGTATGGACACAGTGTATGGCCAAACTGTTGCTGCATCTCGAATTTATCCGAATATTAATTACGGTCCAGTCGTGTTTCCCACTTGAGCGCGTCGTATGGGAGAATCCCGTGGCAGATTTACGTCCCAGCGATGACACGTGCGCCAATTTGCGAGGATACGAATTTTGGCCGGCTCCTAGTGCTCCGTGTAATGAGCCAATTATGGCCGGTTAGCTTGTACCAGCACATGGCCAGCACGAAATTTAACGATCCTCCCTAAGGTACCGGTTAATACGTGCTTTCACTTTTGGAAAAGCTTTCGACACCGCGTATTCCATCTGCGGTATCGACCGACGAATTAATCCGTATCGCGTCGTTGAAAAAAAGGCAGGGGAATTCTTTTGAAAATTTTCCACGCGAAACACAGCTAAGCTGGGATTACACTGTTATCGGGATAAAAATAAACGAATGGTCATTTGTAGATCGTCGTGTTGATAATTACGTCGTGTTACAGCTGGCAATATTTATTTGAACGTTTTCATTCAAATATCGTACAATATATTGTTCGTTCTAATTTAGATTACTTCGATCGCTGATTAGATTCGCGCGAATCAAGTTAACCCTTTCGTGATCCAGTTACACACGCCCATGTCCCACTTGAGTAGACGAACGAAAATTAATCTCAACGGACGTGACGGATAAATGAGAAATTCTTAAGAGACGACGGAAAAATGTTTCGGTGGACAAAGTTCAATTTTTGTGAAGTCTACTATGGAAAATCAGACGAGCAGAAAATAATATTGTTCGCGCATCGCTGTACGACGATAAATTTCATTTTTCTTTATTTTGTTTTTCGAGAAAAAGGTGCACAAATTTGGCAAATTTATCATTGATAAGATAAACGTTTAAATTTCCCCCGGAGAAAAAAAAGTAATTCGATCACGAAAGAGTTGAATGATGTTCGAATAAAATGGACAATCAAACGTGTAAATTGTTACAAGTCCAAAGAAATAACCAGCACATGGAATGGCAATCTCGCGAAAAAAGAAACGGCCATCTTAGAACGGCCACTTTATCGTCGTCAGTTATCGATAATTGAGAACGAGCAATAAGGTATTATACGTAGCAGGTGAGTATCTCGCGTGCTCCATTTCTCCGTTTAATATGTACGATTCCTCCACTTCTACGCGCCGATAACGCGGAGGCTCGTCCTCCTTGGAATTTTTCCTGAAAACTCTTTCGAATTCATTCGTCACGGTTATCGCGCCGTAACAAATGACTACCTAACCTTCTTCTTCCTTTCCTTTCTTTTATCTGGTTTATAGATGAAGAGGGGTCTCTTCTACGTATCGTTCGGGGTAAGACAAGAAAACCCTTTATGCGGTAACTCGTGATTTTTCCAGAATGCTCTGAAAGAAAGTTCGTAGGGATAACTTTCGTTCTCGTTATCTCGAGAGAAAGAGGATGGAGATTGATTTGTAGAATCGATCGACGAGATCTTAATTTCGATACTTAATTCGATATAAGCGTTTACACCATTATTGATAAACCATTCGCATAATGGATGCTGTTTGTAACTCGATGAACACGTGACCCGCCATTTCTCTGACAGAGTTTCTCTTGTATCACGTGCTACGCCAGTGACCCAAACTGTCGACGAAACGGACTGAGGAAAATTTTCTTACTATTCGCGATGTTTCGTTTCCGATTTCAGAAATCCGTATTACCACACCGAGGAAAGAAATGGATTAAGCAGAAGAAAGTGGAGATATTAAATATCGCTGATTTTGATTTCGTTAAATTTCTATCGCGAAGCAATCTCGGGAGCGCATTTTATCGACGACGAGTCGAAAGTCGAACGGACGCTTTAATCGTTTATCGGAGACGAAGATGATGCAAGGTGTATGTTATGTTTTGTTTGTTTTTTCAACGATCGAATCATCATTGCAGCCGTCGCAGTGTTTATACGTCGGCGCGCGGGCAGATTATCGAAGTGATTCGAATAGCTATTAAGAACGTGTAGAACCTCCACCGCCGAACAATTTTCCCCTTTATCCACGGTATGTGCGTGTGTGTGTGTGTATACACAGCGACAGATGAATACGAGACGTCGCGTTGTAATTTACAAAATGAAAAATGCACGTGAACACGCCACCGGCGGAATCGAAAAGGGTAAATCGAGCCGCAACTTGCAAATTACGGTTCCAACATGGCGGCCGAGAAATGGAAGGGGGTTTGGGGCGAGGGCCAAAACGCGCGCACGGCCAACGCGGCGGACCCCCGCCGAATGGACTGTAAATTCACCGGTCCTCTCCCTCGTGAGTCCGCGGAAGCTACTTTGCGATGCAACGAGCGATGCATAATTTCGCTGATCGTCTACAAAGAACGTCGTCAACCCTTTGGTCGTAAACAAATTTTCCACGGGACACAGATTTTCAGCGTCGTGAAACTTTCTTAATTGAAGCTTTACGTGATCGAGGGAAAACGTCAAGAGAAGGGTAGAGAGGGAAGGAGTATAACATTCGATGTACAGATAGTTACCTACAGGGGGAATGTGGACTGCGCATGCGCGGGGCCGCGCAAACAGAACTAGAATAATGTGTCGATTGTTTACACGCAATATTATAATCGAATCGGACCGATGTCAAATAAACTAAACAGAATCGCGTAACTAACGCGCTCGACAATGGATATAGATCCTGTTTGCTTTAAAGCGTTGCTCGGCGCGCAACAGTTAATGAATCAACCCCACGCAGCGGGCGCTTATTAACCGGGAATAGTTCGGCGATTATTCTCGAACGTTTCGTAATTCTTGACGCCTCCAGCGAATTTTCTCGGACAGGCCCCGCTTTAATCGTGCATTCATAAAAAACCGACAGTCGATAAATTGCGCTCCGGGTCATGTAGAACGCGAATAATCGTTTACACATGATGAACTTGCACAAGACGTATAAAGACGCGAATGCTTGTTATCGTTGTACGACTGACGAAATTAGCCTACAAACAAGTGATACGCGAGCGAACGATTCTCATGTATGCATCAGTGATGCTATTGTGTAAGCATACGCGATCGTAATATCGTAACTTAGTAACTTATAGTAACTTATTTTCAACGCGAAATGATAGAGAAGTTATATAGTTAATATTGAACGATACGCAATAACTCTGGTACTATAAACAAATACATTTTTTTCAAATAAATCTTTCAATTACAAGATGTCATCATATGGTTACATAACCAAGGATTCAAAAAAAAAGCAACAAAAGAAAAATGGACGCGGTAATTCTTTTTTGCGTAAATATTTTAATTTCTTCCTGTGTTTAATAGCCACCAATTGCGAAGTTGACTCTCAATGCAGGATTTATGTATTATTGCTTTAATCGCATCGACAGATAAATATAAGCGTAACGTTACGGAATTTGCCGAACCTCGCGGGTGATCAAGAATGATCTGCTGGGGTTCTGATTTATCGGTGACCTATGATAAATTATCACCAGTGAAAGTTCAGGAATGTAATCTCCTGTCAACATTACGCGAATTGTGTTAGAATAATTGCATCTGTCAAGCATAAAAGGTGTATCGATAATAGTTGTAATGATAAGGATTGTACTCAATGAAATTGAGTTCTGTTAAACAAGAGGCGCAGAATATGCACGTGGCTTTAGTCAACAACATGTATACATAAAATGGTACAACAAACAATGGATTTGTATGTTTTTTTTGTAAATATAAAAAAAAACAACTAAGCATTTATTTTGCATTATTTTTAAAGGATTAAGTGTATATAAATATTCCATAACCCTACAAAGACATTCATGAATTTAGTCTGATAATATTTTAGTAGTATGTAACATTTTTTTTTACAATATTGTTTGCATCATAAAAACATTGTGGTCGAAAAGAAACATTTGCATCATCTATCGATAGATTATAGCATTAAGAAAACTCAGCACGTCGGTAAAATAGGTAATCTTTGCCAATCTTGACCACAGACGATATACCTCGTTTGTATCTTCAGTTATTATCGACTGCTTATCCATTACCGACTACTCACATGAGGCTCTATCGTCGTTGTCATGAAAGAGTAAGTGCGATAGCCTTATTCTATCGCTATTGGTTGATTAACAAGGAAAACGTCACAATTTCTCCTGCATCTCCCACTTCTAAACCCTAAGTCCCGCCTGAAGCCTCATCGTTGCATCGCCGATCTGTAGTTGTCGCACGTTTCAATTCTTGTAAAACGTAAATAATACCATTGTATTTAAAATAACTTTGTGCTGTTTAAATGATACGTGTAAAATTGTCATACGATGTTGAAAACATTTAAAACGACGTTCTTCTTAATAGTATTTTAAAGTTATCTGTGACAAGTTGTTTGAACAGTGAATAATATACGCCACAAATATACGAATTCTTTACCATAATCATTTCTACAGTAGATTTAAATTAATTGTATATTTATGTATGATATCGTAATTAGCAGTAATTTTTGAAAAATATTTTATATAGAATATCCATAACATATTGGAAATAAACGTTCAGTGAAGCAACCAGTGTAATCTGTTTATAAACAATATAATCAAATATGTCAACTCTGGAAGATAAGATTTTAGGCGAAAAGTTACATTATTACTGTAGCAGTTCCAGTGAAGATGAAGAAAATGATTCAGCAGAATCTGATAAAGAGACAGAAAATGAAAAATATTCACAAATAATTACAGATTCCATAGAACCATCATTTTCAGAATGGGATGGTACTTCTAGTAACACAGGACCAAAGGGTGTTATAAAAGTAAAATTATATTTCAAATATTTCATATAAATGTGTGACTATAATACATAACTTAATTTATTTTGCACACATTTTAAGGATTGGCAACGCTACAAACAATTACAAGCAGAAAAAAAAGAGGAACAAGAGAAAGAAAGACTTGAATTAATTAATAAACTAAGCTTAACATGTCGCAGTTCTTTAGATGAAGAAAAGGAGAAGATCATGCAAACTGATCCTGATCTTGCTGAATTGTTAGTTGATGAATTCCTTTTAGAATATCAGAGACAAAGGATGAAAGAGATGCTTGCAAGAACTGAGAAACTTCGCTTTGGTGGAGTAATTAATTTAGAAACAGCAGATCAATTTCTGGAAGCAATTGATAATGAAGACAAATCTGTGACAATTATTGTTCACATTTATGAATATAATGTCCCTGGCTGTGAAGCCATGAATGGTTCTCTAATATTTGTGGCAGAGGATTATCCTTTTGTAAAATTTTGTAAAATTTTAGGTTTGTTCTTGAAATATTATTTTTATATTATTTAAATTGTGGTATATATTATTGATTTTATTATAGGTTCAGTAGCTGGGCTCAGTAAACATTTCAAAAAAGAGGGGGTTCCAGCTTTATTAGTTTACAAAGCAGGTCAAGTAATAGGAAATTTTGTTCATGTGACAGATTATTTAGGAGTAGACTTTTATGCTTCTGATGTTGAAGCCTTTTTAATTGAACATGGAATGCTTACTGATAAGAAGTGTGTACCTGCTATCATTTCACAAAATGAGAATACATTATCAGACAGTGAATAAATGAAACAAATGAATGTTTTCAATAATTTTAAACATTCCCCTCCTAAGATATCGAATAAATTATTAGTAGGAATAGTTCTCATACATTTCACTCATTTTGAAGAACATAACTTAGAAAATTTTCATAAATAATACTGAAAAATAATTATAATGGAAGTACCAAAAAGTAATACTTTTTATAAATAAAAATAGATGTATATTCATCTTAATACAACATATAAATTTATATATAAATACTTTAAAACTTAATTTATTTTTGAACTTATAACTGATTTAGAGTTTTTCTAATATTTGTTTCTTTATCTTAATAACTTTGCACAAGTCTGAGTAAGTCTTTAATACTTCATCATATTCAGTGTTTTGTAAGCTTTCATATTGTTTCTTTAAATTTTCTTTCTCTTCAATTTCACTCATTACTGAAAATAATTTTTCATCTATAGCTGTTTTTAACATTCTATATGCATCAATTGTTATTGGAGTTTCTTTGTACATTTTCATAATGCATGATAACTTTGTAATCTTTGCTTGTACTTCTGCAACTTGGGCTTGCAATAATATGTACTCTGCTTTTTCCAAATAAAGTTTACTTGTATCTTTGTACTTTAATTTATTCCAGTTGTTCATCAAACTCCTGCATTTCATGACATCAGCTTCATATTGAGCACATAATTCTTCTATTTTATCTTTCCACTGAAGTAGTTGGACTTCGTAAGACTCAAATAATTTTTTACGCATGTTACAGTCAGTTGATCTTAAAACTTCTTTCATATTTCCTCCCAATTGTTCATACCTGAAACATTATAAAGTTATATGGAATTTGCACTTTACTATATGTAATAAGTAACAAAAGTTTTTAAACCTTAATATAAAGTTATGTATTTTTTCCCGTAATAATGATTCCACATAACACTTAGTATCTAACATCTCTTCATAACTAAGGTCATATTTTGGTAAATCAGTAATTCCCAAAATACTTGATTCCTCTTGTACATTCTTTAAAGTAGATGGTAAATGCATGTATTTGTTAAGCTCATGAATTAGAAGCAATCCTTTCAATTTAGTAGCAGTATCTTCAGGTAATGCTCCTTTTACATTTTCTGATGCGTCTTTTATACATTTCAATATTATTTTGTATTTTATATGTTCTCCTATATTTTCTTCGCACGCAGTTAGACATTTTACAGTTTTCTCTAAATTATTAGTTCTTTGATTTATAGTACTTCTGCTTGAATTGTGAGTCAAACTACATTGCTGTTCAAACAAATTTTGCAATGAGTCTATTGTACCAATTATTCGACTACAATTCGAACGAGAAATTCGTGAAATACTATGTATATCTAGAAATACATAAAATTAATCATACTATATTTGGAATATTGTGAATTCACTACTTCGAATTTTATATAGATTGGAAAGTTATAGGCACCTATAATTCAATAGGTAATTAATATATTACATACCCGATATCTGGCTTAAATCGCTAAAGCTACTCATACTGCTGGTTTTGAACAACACTTTTTATTATTTGAAGAATAAACATTAATAAAACTATTTTTGTAAGACTCAAATTTAAACGGTTAAAGAAATAATCAAAGTAACAGAGAAGAACGTGTATTCGTGTTTTTGTAAATTCCCTACATTGCAATTTTGTTAAAATAATTTTTAATTGAACAACCAAATAGATAATATTTATTTTACTTGATTATACGAATTGTAAGCAATATTTTAATACAATCGCATTTTAACACAGTATAGTATTATAGAAATACATATATAGAAAAAGTCTTCGGAACCTGATTGGGTAAAGGGGATTGGGAAGTTGTCAGGTAAGTAACGTAAAAGTTTCATCTAAGTCGAGTAGTATGTTCATAACTGTGGACGGCGTCTCTATAGTTCATCGTGTTCAATCTGAAAAATGGCGGCGAACATTAACGGCGTATTCAACGAAAATTTACAAAATGCAATACTTCAAAGTAAAGTACTTATCGTGGGTGCTGGTGGTATTGGATGTGAAATATTAAAAAATCTTGTTATGACAGGATTTACCGATATCGAAATTGTAAGTATATTAAAATTTATTAAAGAATTATGACGATGCTTTAACCTACGTATTTTTCCCTCCTTTATCGGTTATCGTTGTTACTTAAAATTTAAAGCCGACATTGATATTGTTATGAATTATTATGATAGTACTATCTGTAATACCGTCATTTCACAATAAAGAATATTAAGAATAAAATAGTTATTGTTCCTGTATGCATTAATTACGTTTTTGTTATTCAAGTGGTAAATAAACATATGTTATTTTCAGATTGATTTAGATACAATTGATGTTAGTAATTTAAACAGACAATTTCTGTTTCAAAAGAAACATGTGGGAAAGTCAAAAGCTGATGTTGCAAGGGAAACAGCTTTAACATTTAATCCTGATGCAAAAATAGTTCATTACCATGACAGTATTACATCGTAGGTATTTTTATATTTTTAATGTAATATCATATTGTATGTTCTACTATTGACTTTTATATTTATAGTTCTGACTATGGAATATCATTTTTTAAAAAGTTCACATTGGTTATGAATGCACTTGATAATAGAGCAGCTAGAAATCATGTAAATAGAATGTGCTTAGCTGCAGATGTACCATTAATTGAATCTGGTACAGCTGGTTATGAGGGACAAGTAGAACTTATAAAGAAAGGATTAAGTCAATGTTATGAATGTACACCAAAGGCTGCACAAAAGACTTTTCCTGGTTGCACAATTCGTAATACACCTAGTGAGCCAATTCATTGTATAGTATGGGCAAAACATTTATTCAAGTATGTTTTTCAATTAATATTTCTTTCAAAGAAACATGTAAAAGAATATAAAAGAATACTTTTAAATCTTATGTAGTCAGTTATTTGGTGAAGAAGATCCTGATCAAGATGTTTCTCCAGATACTGCTGACCCAGAAGCAGCAGGTAATATTAATACTTTAATTTATTATTCATTGATTATATAAATATATTCACATAAAAATTGTGCATTATAGCTGGTGCAGGTGAAGGTGCTCTAAATTCAGAAACTAATGAAAAAGGAAATGTAAATAGAGTATCAACTAGAGCTTGGGCACAATCATGTAATTATGATCCAGAAAAGTTATTTACAAAATTATTTCATGATGACATCAAATATTTGCTTAGTATGGATAATTTGTGGAAGAAAAGGAGACCACCTACTCCTGTAAATTGGAAAGACTTACCAGATGGAGGTTTGTAGAATAATTATTTTAAGTTTTTATTTAGCTAAAGATAAGTATATTTCATAAAAGCTTTATACAATACAGTACCAGGATGTAGTAAAGAAGTTAATGAACCTGGCTTGAAAGATCAACAACGTTGGAGTATTTTTAAATGTGGTACAATATTTGCTGAATCAATAAAAAATTTAAACAATACTTTGAAAACCTCCCTGGAAAAGGCATCAAACAACCACCTTGTTTGGGACAAAGATGATCAGAGTTCAATGGATTTTGTTGCAGCATGTGCCAATATAAGAGCTCATATTTTTGGCATACCTCAGAAAACTAGATTTGATATAAAATGTAAGTGGTTAACTATTATTTGCTATATTCGAAAGCTAAAGGAACTCTAATTTTCCGTTTACTGTACTTTGCAGCTATGGCAGGAAATATAATTCCCGCAATTGCAACTACAAACGCTATAGTTGCTGGTTTAGTTGTTCTTCATGCATTCCGCATTCTTGAAAATAATTTAAAAGCATGTAGATCTGTATATTTGCGTTCGAAAATGAACCATCGCAATCAATTATTGGTACCAGAAAAGAATGTGAATCCACCAAATCCAAAATGTTATGTATGTGCACCCACACCACAGGCTGTACTAGCAATTGATACATCTAAAGCAACAATCAAAGAATTAGATGAAGTAGTGCTGAAAAATAGGTTGAATATGATTGCTCCAGATGTTATGATAGATGGTACTGGCACTGTTGTGATCAGCAGTGAAGAAGGAGAAACCGAACAAAATAATGATAAACATTTAGAAGAATTAGGAATTAAAGACGGCACCATACTCAAGGTGGATGATTTTCAACAAAATTATTCGCTAACTGTCACTATAGTTTTTAGAGAACGACCAAATGTAAAAGACGATAGTCCTGATTTCCTCATCTTAGCCGACGAAAAAGATCTTAAACCTAAGGAAGACAATGACTTAGTGCAACCATCTACTTCCAATGGACAGGTGAGTAAAACTTTATATGAACATGTCAGTGCTAAAAAATTAAAAAATGTATACAAACTAAGAATTTTATCCAGGACACATCTGATGACAATGTAATGATTGTTGAAACTGAAATTACTCCATCAGAAGTATTTAAGAAACGTAAAACTGACTCTCCTGAAGCAAACGTATCTTTCAAGAAACGAAAATTGGAAGTTAATGATATAGATGATGATATTTCTATTATTGAAAATGATATAAATAATGATACCGCTAAGACAAAATCAAAATCTAGAATACATAAGAGCTCAATAGATGATGACTGTTTAATTGTACACGATGATAACATGCAAAAAGAATGCAGTTCCGGAGTGAGTGAATGAAATACATTGAAATATTTTATTCAGAATATGAAAAAAGTTTTAAAATTGGTATACAGATCATTTATGTAAAAACGTGTGTTTGTACCAAAAAAAATGTACATACATACCAATTCCAATAGTTGAGTTGTGAATTTCATTTTTTTTATTCAAATTTTCGTATAACTTTATTAAAATAATTCATAAATAATTGATAAATGTGATTATCAGTAAATAAGTTCATGGTACACATGGTAACAGATTATGAGAATGAGCGTGTATGTACAATAGTGATCTTATCGAAATGAATTAATTTTTACAAATATTTAAAAAAGTAGGTAGTGTTATGTTTATAGTATGTCATTGACAGAATGTAGCTATGGAATACATTTTTATACAAAAAAGATAAATAAATACTTTTTTCTTACTATAACATTATGTCCTATTGAATGAAGACTTCTCAAACACTTTTATTTATACAATGTGCATATTGATTTAAATTATAATTATACATCTCAAAATCGATTTTATATCTTTCGTATAATTTTAAAATTATATCTTCTGTTAAATTTGCAAGATATTGGCACGTAATATCAAAGTTCGTATGTCCACCTCGTGTTTTTTCTAACTTAGGAAAATACACTTTGCTCTTATCCAATCTAAATTTAGAAAAAACGTAATTAATTTGCCCGTACGTATAATCATCCAATTTTAAAACGTAGTTATATCTTATATTGCATAAAGCACAGTGAGTATAATACCGAGCCCAGTGAACATCATCTTCCTCGGAACTTTGTAAAAGCCATTCTATAAACTCTTTAAAAGTTGGTACTATTTTTAACCTTGGAAAAAGGAATGTGTTAAAAAACTGTTAGGTAAATGTAACAGAAACATTTTTGTTATTGTATACTTTTATTAACTATACCTTTTATCACGTGTAAATACTTTCTGTCGAAAATTACCCGTTGATGTATTCGAATGAAACAATTTGGGTCTCGTAAAGCGAAATATTTTCTCTGCATATATCCAAGCTTGTGCAGTATACTTTGATTTATCTTCTATTCTATCTCTAAGGTAAAATTATTTTTGTTGTCTATTAATTTAAATATTTGTTATATATTTTTGAAAAACGGTACCTGTATGAAGATACAAGCCTTTGAAAAGGATGTCGTACCACTAATAGTTTGAATATTTTCGTATCGTTCGATATAAGTTGCAGTTCCTTTAAAGTTCGCGGTGCTAAACTGTCAACTTCTCTACGAATAACTTCCAAGTTAAAACGTTAGTTACAAATAAAAAATGTAAACATTATAAATACCTATAATAATTTCGCGTGGACGGTTGATTTTTCATGTCTGCAAATAATTTTGTGAAACTTGTCGAAGCTACTTTTCGAATCCAACAATACATCGATTTATGTTGAAAATTATATAAAAAGTGTCTTTTTATTAAAGCAGTTTTTAAGTTATATTTCACACATGTATTTGAAATTTGTTGTAGCACTGCTGCACTTTCCTATTAAAAAAATACTCGTGTATTGTGTTTAAACAATTTAATCGTCTATTCACTTACCTCTAAATTTATGGATTCGCCTTTCATTTCATCGCGTTCTAAAAGTTTGATTTCTAAATTGATTGGTTTAGTAACTATTCGAGATATTACTGTACATTTTTGCTTCGCTTGATTGTAGTTTGTAAAAAGCACCGAATCTCGATATTGTGTTATATCGAAACTCTGTTTTATTCTTAATAAAAATGTACAAACTACGACGTATAAAATAATACATAACGTACATTTTACAAATTGCATTTTAAGTGACATAATTAAAACTGAATAGTGTATTCTGACAGTTAGATATGAAGATTGAAACATCCGTCCATGAATAGTCTGCCGGGGTAGAATAAAAGATAATATTTATCTCGCATTTATAAATATGTGCCATACGATAGAAAAGAAAGAAAATAAGAATACAGGAAAGGAGAGAAAGAATCCTCTATGAGTTAGACAAGAATAGCGAGGAAACATTGTGACGACACCAATACTATATATTTCCTATTTTGACCGCGGGAACTAACGTCTCAGCATTAGGATAACAGGTGCCGTAAACAAAAGATGCGTATACAGTAAATTCTCTACAAGAGTCGGTAAGTTTGGATTCTACAAGTGACAGTATAGATGGTCCTACGCCTAGGTCTGCGTCATTGCTGCGCACATGTTATCTCGCTCGCAGTCAGTCAAGCGTGTAACGCTACACCAGTTGGTTTCCTTTACGAGATTTCACGGCTCGACAAATCAAAATAGAAAAATATAATTTCTTTAATTTTACGTTTTTTTATCCCGCAATTTTTCTTAACATATTGATGAGATTTTTCTGATGAAAATGAACATTTACTTATTAACACGTTCACTATCACGCCAGATAGACAGGTTGCTGTCAGGCGGCCACAAGAAAATACATTTTAAGAATAGGATTATAGTATTATGCTTCATAATTTCTTTTTTCCATTGAAAGTAATGTTTAGCTAGCTATGACGTTCAAAATTTTTAGTTGACAACATTTATTTTATTTTAATTATTCTAAACATTTGAGGCACTCCAGTCACTGATGACCACCATGGCCATATCGAGGAAACAATCTAATGTTAATACTTATTGAGTGATTAATTTAATTTCATAATATATCGCTTTAGCGAGCCACCGTTTGGTTGCCAATTGTTTATCACACAGAGTCGGCCTACTTCCACGTAAGAAAAAAAAAATATGTAGGGTCGATAGCAGCAGAAAAGCTGCTAAACAATTAGAATTAAATGTAACGATAGAAATTATTGCAATAATGCGTAATGCAATTGAAAAATTGAAAGAATCAAAAGAAAAAACGCGAATTCATATCTTTCTCGATTCTAGAATATAAGAAAATCTGAATGAAATACGCGACGAGAATTGGGGAGAAGCATAAGTTAAACGCGTAAAAATATTCAATAATAAACGAACTAGGGATGAAGCTATTATTTCAATACGCGATGCACTGACTCTAGTATTTACTAAAATTCAAAAATTCTCGTATAAATTCCGAAAATAGATTATTAATTACGGTAAACTACTGAGACGGTTTAATTTAGGGTGGGCATAGTGCACTCGTTCCAAATCATCTCACAATATACAATAATAAATCAACTAACTACTTAACATGCAATTCATGCAAATTCCTTGGATGGTAAATTATTAGTAAACAAAATTCAATATCAGAGAAAATATATGAAAAATACTGAAAGAAAAATTTCAAATTAATTTCAAATATTGATGGTTATACTGTAACGAAAAAGCAACCTCTCAAAGTCATTTCAATATCCTATTCGACAAGTCTGAAGAACAACGATGACTAAAATTCAAATGTTTATTTCCCTAAACCTTCAAAATAATTTCGAAATATTTTATTCGAAGCGGAGTATTCCAAGTCAGTATCGATAATTGAAGAAATTATTTGATTGTATTTAAAAGAACCGAAAGGAGAATATTTAAAGTCTGATATTAAATGTCTAGCAAGTACCAGTAATTGGTAAAATGATTTATATTTGTTTTAAAAGGAAAATTTCTAATAGGTATTAGTTAAAATGAATTGTTATTCAGTCTATTGTATTGAAATTCTAATTGATTCTAATGTATACAAGTGTTACAAGAAGGCTGAGTGTGTACAGGGTGGACACTGACTCTAGTATTTACTAAAATTCAAAAATTCTCGTATAAATTCCGAAAATAGATTATTAATTACGGTAAACTACTGAGACGGTTTAATTAAGGGTGGGCATGGTGCTGCTTTAGTTTGAAATGATTTATAAACACATAATTAACAGAGGAAAAACCGTGAAACGGCAAAACGTCTACATTCTAATTGTTATAACATGTAAACAGAACTTTAAATTTAGTGTAAACAGAAAAAATATATAATACAATTTATTTCACGGTATTGCAACAAATAAACGTTGAATCAATATTTAATTCGTATAAAAACAATTATTTAACGTAATAATTTTACCTTCACTATGGCTATTTTTAATCTACGACCACAGGTCAACCTGATTTCTAATCCTTACGAACTTTAAATTCAGTCTAAACTGAGAAAATATATAATACAATTTATTTCACGGTATTGCAACAAACAAACGTTGAATAGATTCTTAATTCGTATAGAAACATTTATTTAAAATAATAATTTCACCTTCACTATGGCTATTTTAAATTTACGACCAAGGGTCAACCTGATTTTTAATCCTCCGAACTTGATTTCACAACGAGAAAGTAATAAGATCGTTGAAACGTACTTATTTGTCAAAGAAACTTGCAAAAATGTATAAATAATAATATGTAATGTTTTAACAAATTTTTGGAAGTATAAATTAATAATAAAATTGTGAAAATTAATAAATTATACGTTATTATAACATTAATAGAATTATGACTAAACCGAAGTTCGAAGTCGAGTATTTAAAGTCTGATATTACGTGCCTAGCGAGTGCCGGTAATTGTTAAAATTTGTTTAATAATTAGTAATAGAAATTCTAATTGATTCTAATGTATACAAGTGTTACAAGAAGGCTGAGTGTGTACAGGGTGGACATAGACTAGCTAGTAGCCCCCGACCACTCTATTCACATCTCAGAACCTTCAGGTCAAAATACGCCGCGAAGTGTCTAGGGCCCAGTATAAAGGGTAAATGATTTCGCGGGACATCGGCGGGTCCTTATATACCTGCGGTACCCTCTCCCCAAAGTCATTAGCAAAATCGTCGGTTAGGTCAGGCGGGAAATTTTCGCGGGAGATTTTCGCGGGAGATTTCCGATATCGTAACACGGTATAATTTATCAATTTTCACAATTTTATTAAAAATTTATACTTCCGACAATTTGTTATAACATTGCATATAACAATTTATACGTTTTTACAATATTCTTCAATGGAAACATAGGTTTTAGCGTTCTCGTTACTTACTCGTGGTTAAATTAATTTCGTAGGGATTAAAAATCAGGTTGACCTGTGGTCGTAGATTAAAAATAACCATAGTACAGCTAAATTTATCGTGTTAAATAATTCTTCTTACACGAATGAAAAATGTATTCAACGTTTGCTTGTTACAATACCATGAAATAAATTCGATACTGACTTGGAATACTCCGCTTCGAATAAAATATTTCGAAATTATTTTGAAGGTTTAGGGAAATAAACATTTGAATTTTAGTCATCGTTGTTCTTCAGACTTGTCGAATAGGATATTGAAATGACTTTGAGTGGTTGCTTTTTCGTTAGGGCATAACAATCAATATGTACTTTTCTTCCAGCAATTGAAATTAATTTGAAATTTTTCATATATTTTCTCTGATATTAAGTTTATTTATGGCTTGCTATTTTGTTTACTAATAATTTACCATCCAAGGAATTTGCCTGAATTGCATGTTCAGTAGGTAGTTGATTTATTATTGTATATTGTGAGCTGATTTGGAACGAGTGCACTACACTCGTGCACTATGCCCACCCTAAATTAAACCGTCTCAGTAGTTTACCGTAATTAATAATCTATTTTCGGAATTTATACGAGAATTTTTGAATTTTAGTAAACAGTAGAGTCAGTGCATCGCGTATTGAAATAATAGTTCGTTTAATAATAAATTTTAAATTTAATAATAAATCTAAGAAATAGTTCGAAATAATAATCCCTAGTTCGTTTAGTATTGAATATTTTTACGCGTTTAACTTATGCTTCTCCCCAATTCTCGTCGCGTATTTTATTCAAATTTTCTTATATTCTAGAATCGAAAAAGATACGAATTCGCGTTTTTGTACATCTGATGCAGTGTATTATAGTGGAGACTTTGATAACTGTCTTAGAATTTTTTCACATTTTTTGAAAGCCAAGAATAGTAAAAGAATTCTTAGATTAAATTAGACTTGGACATAAACCACTGGCACTCACATGAAATTCATTAATCACAATCAGTATACAGTCAATTTACAATATTTACCATTTTAGCGCTAAAACAAGTAAGAAGAGTTAACGTATTATAGATTAACGAAATTTGGCAACCTTCAGTTGTACAAATTAAATCAAATTAAAATGAATTTTTCTTGACCAAAATCTGTGATAAGAGTCTGACTCGTTACACGGCAATCGATTAACCCTTTGGACACCTTTAATTTAAAAAAAAAATTATAGAGCATAATACTATAATCTTATTCTTAAAATAATTAATATGTATTTTCTTGTGGCCGCCTGACAGCAACCTGTAAATCTGGCGTGACAGTGAACGTGTTAATAAGTAAACGTTGTTCAAATTATGTCGTGTTTGATGTCATTTTCATCAGAAAAATCTCATCAATATGTTAAGAAATATTTCGGGATAAATAAACGTAAAATTAAAAAAGTTGGTATTTAAATCGCTTGGTTGCCTCGACTCACGTTTCATCCTTATCTTTTATTCGCTGTCCTTGTCTACGTTCGGCAAACTGCAAAGGTGGGCGCGAGGCTCGAAAACGTAGTCCCTGACTCTACGAGTGTCAGGTTTAGCTTCCTTGCGGTCAGACACTTGGGGAGAATATACTGTATACCGAAACCGATATCGTACGGAAACAAATGAGTATCGAAACCGTTATAAAACCGAAATCGTTAGAGTACCGAAACCGAAATAAATACCGGTATTTTTTAGGTTTTTCTTTCGATGACATGGTAGATTAAAGCAGGGACTTCTACCGAAACTTAAAATACTGGTATCATACCGGTATTTTTCGGTTATATCTTCAAAATGTTTATAGAAACCGAAATACAAAAATATCGGTATGACGTCATATCGGTATATGAA